TAGGTGAGACCCATGATGTACTGTGTCTCCGTGACTGTATTAAAGTGATATATTGCCATGTAGCCTAAAGAAATGCCAACCATTTCTGTCTGGAGATCATGTTTTCACGCTATGATTCAAATACGACATTATTTTCTCTGTACCATTGGTTATAACGACAGTTTTGGTACATGCACAGTGAAAAAGAACTAAATAAAAATGAACCTTCATCACATCTCGTCTATTCAGAACAGTAGAAAAAGATCCCCGGAGTTCATCAAAAGATATTTCTTTTCACATTTATCTGAATTCACAAGGTAATATTCAACCCATGTCATTTTATATCCACTTAACTTATAAATGCTTTCATTTTTATATATTTTTCTTTTATGGCCAAGGTAAAAAGTTAGAAAAAGGAGCAAGTAATTTAACTTGGAGGAGCAAAAACGCAATTACAGACTTCTATTACTGACTTGTGCTTAGTAGACTGGTAACCTTAATATTTTTGACACTGCTGTCACAAAATGTCGATATTAACAGTAACCTATTAAAATAAATTAACATAATAAAAAAATATTGCATTAACTTCTAATATGGTGACATAATAATATGCAACACTTTTGTATGAGTTAAACAATTGTCATGATGGTGACAGCAATACTTTGTATGGCTTGTTACATTCCAGTAAATGCACACACTTAATTCACTTTATAAAAGTAAGATTTGTAAAAAATATCAATGCATTTAATTTACTTCTTTCTAAGAATAGTTATGTAATACTTTGCAATTGATATATCACTTACTTTGTTATCTATCATATCGAGGATTTTTACTGTTTTGTCATTGTTTCCTTAACTACTTGAATTCAAATTTAGGTAGTTTCATTTCGTATTTTTCTTGGAAACATGTCCATGAATTCCATCAACAAGACAAATAGACAAATAGCATATCAAACGTATGAATGAACACGGAAAAGCAAATAGTATATCACACTTATAAATGAACAAGGAAAGACAAATAGTATATCCAACTTATGATTGAACAAGGAAAGACGAATAGTTTATCACACTTATAAATGAACAAGGAACTAAACATGATAACGGAAAAACAAACTTATAAATGAACAAGAAAAGGCAAATAGCATATCACACCTATAAATGAACAAGGAAAGACAAATATAATGTCACAATTGCATTTTAAAGTTATAAATGAACAAGGAAAGACAAATAGTTTATCACACTTATAAATGAACAAGGAACTAAAAATGAAAACGGAAAAACAAAAAGCATATCAAACTTATAAATAAACAAGAAAAGGCAAATAGCATATTACACTTATAAATTAGCAAGGAAAGGAAAAAAAGAATGCCACAAATAGCATTTCAAAGTTATAAATGAACAAGGAAAGACAAATAGTTTATCACACTTATAAATGAACAAGGAAATACAAATAGTTTATCCAACTTATGATTGAACAAGCAAAGACAAATAGTTTATCCAACTTATGATTGAACAAGGAAAGACAAATAGTTTGTCACACTTATAAATGAACAAGGAACTAAACATGAAAACGGAAAAACAAAAAGCATATCAAACTCATAAATGAACAAAGAAAGACAAATAGAATGTCACAAATAGCATTTCAAAGTTATAAATGAACAAGGAAAATCAAATAGTAGATATTATATCATATCTATAAATGAACAAGGAAAGGTAAATACCATATCAAACTGATAATTGAACAATAAAAGACAAATTGCATATCACACTTATAAATGAACAAGGAAAGGGAAATCGCACATCACACTTATAAATGAACAAGGAAAGGCAAATAGCATCAAACTTATAATTGAACAATGAAAGACAAATTGCATATCACACTTATACATGAACAAGGAAAGGCAAAAGGCATATCAAACGTATAAATGAACAAAAAAATGAAAAATAAATGAAAGATAAGGCAAATAGCATATAATAGTTATAAATCAAAGGAGATGCAAAAGCAAACCATTTCAACAAATATACAATGATGGGTAAGAATTGTTATGTGTTAATTGCATCAGAAACTAAAGAATTATAAAGGCCCAAAGTCATTTTAAATCATTTCTATCTCTTCTTCTTTCAATGAGATTTTGTGGAAAATAAATTTTGACTTAAACGATCTAGAACTTTTGCCTCTGGGAGAACTTTTAATTTTTTGTCAAACTCAGCGATGTTAATTGTCTCGATGGAAATAAATTCTACAAGTAACAATACTGTGGTGAATGGATAATCTACCCAAATTTATGGACATTGTGATTTTGAAAATTTGATCAAATCTGTCAACCAATTCCAATCTAATGTATATGATGAAAAAACATAGACTGGCTTTAAAATGTAGTATAGTGGAAAGAATTTTGGGTGGCAAACACGTGGAGGGGAGTGTAATTTTAACACTCACATAAAGTTGGTATCCGACTTTAATTTCATGTGATTTTAAAGCGTGAGTAAAAAATCATTTTTGATTATACATTTACAAAATTATCTTAATAAACAAAATACAATAACACTTAACGTTCATACATTTACAGCAAAGTATTCACGGTTCTGCGATTGTTTGGGAATAATATACTTAGTTCTGAAGGATCTTAGTCATTTACGTAGAACTGGCTTTATTTCTTTTAAACCAGTTTAAGTCAAGCACACATTTAAATGTGAGAACAATATTCCTAAATAAGCATCGCGTTTTTACGTCTCTTAAGAGAGCAAACACAATTGTAAAGAACATTGTCGAACTTTAGAAATGTATACTTCAACTGAAATGGGAGAATTAGAATCAAGAGTTTTGAAATAGAGAGGTATAGATGTAGACTCGACTTAGCAGCTGTGGGGGATTGTTGTTGTTCATTCTCAAATGAAATAACAGTTTAGTTGGGGGTCCTTTATACTTCTCTTACACTAACGTTCCCTACTACATAAATATTGCTTGCATTAACGAAAATATAGAAACATTATATTCAGTTGGAATAATATTTAAAAATTGTTTATGCATTATGTGTAGCTGTAAATAACGTTTTGGGTTCAATTGTCTAAACCGAGAACTGTTGTCAATCATGTTTAATGTTTTAAATTGTTTACATTTCACCCTTTTTGAAATTAATGACTATGGCAAATACTAATGAGGTTTTCCTTTAATGTTCTGATATAGCCTATTAAGATAGTGAAGCATTTACAAATTTATATGCATGTTCAAAACTGCAATTGTTGATCGAACCCTAATGTGAACAATCCAGGAACATTTTAGATATTTTGACAGCAGACAATTTTAGTTGCTATGATTAGACTTGATTTAAACATAAAACGCACGACTGAAAAAGTCAAAATGACACTTTTGCAACACGTGAATTAGAATTTTAATGTTTTCACTTGATCAAATGCCTTCCAATAATCCTTTAGGTTCAGTCTTCTAAAAGTTCAAATATTTACACATTAATTCTGGATTGTATATTGAAATAAGAAAGAAGAGCATTAAGCTGTTTAGAAATTTGGAATTTCTTAAATGTCATTTGTTCAATGTAATGTAAATTGAATGTCTTGAAATTCTTTAAAATCTAGGCCTTTAAAAAGATTTGACAAGACGCTATTTGTGAATTCAAATAGTCATTTAGTATTTGTGTAATGCTTTCGATCATTCAGATATATAACATAATGTATGATGTACAATGCTTTCTTCATTTGTCGCTACATGTGGAGTTGACGATAGATAATTGAATCAAGGGGATATGAACCTGTCTTTGTTAATCTGTTTTTGATCAGTTTTTACTATAGCAAGTTCAAAATGACATTTTGTCTGATATGGTTTGTGAAGGAATACCCAATGCAATGTAGATTTTACTATTGACAGTAATACTATTTTCTATAATCAATTATAGCTTTGACAGTTGTAATAATGACTATAAGGACTGAACAATCATATAAATATTCATGAGATGCATTAAAGTACAATCATTGCTTTGACTATGACCGACTGCACATAGAGAACCGTCGCAATGTTATTTGTTATAAGGTGTTAACTTAAGTAAAAAATACATTCGTCACCGTCATTATCGCTGTCCTTCATCCGAACATATTCTTACCAGTTACGATGGTATCTTGTAACCATCGCACTGGCCGATGCATTTGTCACTGCACTGGTAACATTATCAAGATTTCTTCATCATTCTCGAAAATATTGCGAAAATAAATTGTCTTTTAGCATTGCATAGTTTCATCGTGAGAAACAAAGACATTTAGAAATTGTGATCTGATGTGTGAGAAACATCATTTTGTGACAGTTCGTCCAAACAAGAAAAAGATCACTTAGTTTTGAATACTCGTTCTATTCTATGAGAAATACGTTTTTATCCATTGAAAAAGGCATCAATTTTATTCTAAAGTGTATTGAGTGAAGGTGATAACTAAAATGGTGATATAGCATATCGCAGACTCGGAGTCTAGACCCAAACAACTTTCTTTTCACATAAAAGGTGTGATTTTGTGTGATATATGACATCTAGAGTCATCCGATTCGCTTAATTATAAGTTTACAATGCTTGACCAGGTATATTTAGGAATGTGGGCAAGTCTAACAGGCGTAACAAAATAAACTTATAATTTTCACAGGGTAGTTTACTCTTCAAGGTGCTTCATTTGTCCGATCGTTTCTATAAAATGATCCAAGTTACGTGATTTGCTGATAAATAATACTATGAAGACATACGATCGGGATAAGAAAATATAATATATTGAAATAGATAGGGCAGTGACCAATACATGAAAGGAACAAATACACAAAACCCAATATACGAAATGTCACAACAACCGTCGTACAATTGCAATTTAGCCCTACTCAATATACTTATCACTTTTGAGTAAAACAAAAAATGACCAATTTTAAAATGATAATAAATCAAATGATGGAGGGACAGCCGTTTTGGATAGTCTGACGAGCCCAAAGTCCATTTTCAAACCCCATATTTTATTTAATTTCTGATAAAAAGTAAACTAATTTTTATATTTACTATCTTATAAATGCTTTATTTCATTTTTAAAATGAATGTTACACAATGATATAGCCACAATGCTATAGTTTTACTATAACATAATGATGATGATGATAATATATAACGTTAGATGTTCCAACGTATCCAGAACAATAAAGACGACTTAAGTTCTACCGAAGCAACATGCAACAAATATAATAACTTCCAGCGAAAACCACAGAGGAATAAAACCAAACTTAGTAAATGAATTTTCTTATTTAGATAATTTAATAAAGATTGGCTTACTACTAATCTCATTTGCGTTGAGTCAATCATCAAAATCATAGAAAATAGTTCAGAATCGTATGAAAAGATTTGTAAATGAACATTTCAAGAAGGAGATTGTTATAAAACAGATTCCCACATAAAGTTTGGCTGGAATATCTAAGATAAGAAATGATGTATAGCAGTGGAGAAGGGTGATAAAATAACACCCTTGTTCACAATGATATGAGTTCACGTGTAGACTATAGAATACAAACGTGAAAATAATATTTTATGGTAGATTCATGACTTCAATTTTTCAAAAATTATTCAACAGTTTAAAGAAGTAATATATTTTCTGTTTACCAGAGCTTTGCGTTTATACTAACTTTTTCCTTTATAATGAATAATACTGTTTTGTTTGAATGTATCTAATACTCTCAGAGATTCATTGCAGTAGAAGCACAAATAGGGGGTATAATTAAAGTTGGATGTTTTAAATCATTGTTTCATAACTCCTCAAAATGTGTACACATTACCGTCCTTATTAATGTGACGCGCGTTCCAAAGTTTGCTAGACACCGTAACACTTCGCCCAACGTTGTTGGTGTTTCTTTATATCGTTCGTGCATGACGATATCAATTTATTGTCACGTGATATCGAGATATCGTGGGGACGAGATTTGATTAGATTACCACAGGATTTTTCGAGTCGACATCAGCAAGTCATTTGGCCGAGTCATAGTGTTTGATATTCTGTTAAAAGTCCCGGATGTGCTTGAACAGAGCCCGGATGCTGAGGGTGGGGTATACCAGAGTTAGTGTTTGTCATAGTCAAGCCTAAGGACTGCTGGGACGGTTGAGTGATACCGGGGTGTGTCGTTGAGATTGGCATTTGTTGGTGATGTTGCGCATATTGCAGAACCATTGCGTTTGCTTGTTGTTGACTTGGTGAGGATTTTTGTTGCACTAAATCTGCGTACATGTTCCCTCCTGTTGGTGAGTCTAGTTCGGTATGGCCTAAGGCCGTCATGTCATCTAGATCCGAGTCGTCCTCTTGTTTTACGCCACTACCAACCATAGAACTGTCGCCATCTCCCTGACCATCACCCCTGAAAAACACAATTACGTTGTTTAAAATACAATGAAATTGACTTTTAACATGCAATCTTATGTGAGTGGTATAAGTGATCTAAAGCCCAGTCCGGGCTCTAAGTCCGGGATAAACCCATTAAGGCATATTTGTAAAATTAATATTAATAAAATTTCATCATTGTCATAATTATCAGTTTAATTACAGAGGCTGATTACTATTCCTTCATAAACCAAACTGGAGATGGTGTTGAACTGGAAATCAGAGTTAATTATAAATGACTTAATATGTTAATTTCCTCAAATGAATTATCGCAAAATGTTAATTGGGATTTAATAAATACATTCCGACGCTTCGACGATAAGGTTAGCGATGCATCAATAATCATTTCCGTCATTTACATAAATATTGAAAGTGACATGTAATTTATTCAGGCAAGCCCCGGATGTTTAAACCAAATTCAATAATTGGAGCTAAATATTTTTATTCAATATTGATATATTGTCTCTGATGTCTGCACGACCAAAAAAGGTTTTTTATTTTGCGACATTTAGAACAATTAATTTTATGGCCAATACAAGATGTCACCGTCACAAATCAAGAAGTGTTTCGAGCATTTAGGATCATTTATTAATTTGATTTATTTTTATGTAGATCCCCTGGGTTGCTGGTCAAGTGTAGAGATCATTGAATGAAAGGGTAACCCTTGTATATCCTCCTATATGTTCCTCTCCAGGCACAGAAATGTAGATGAAAAAAATATGGACAATCTATATTACTTTCAAAACCTGCATTTGACATTTTTCATTTTTTCTTTATTTCAGAAAGTAAAGATTAAAACGAGTTACAAGAAAATTGGAAAAGTTGCTTGAAGGCACTCCTTGGGAAGACACACGAAAATCTGGCTTTGTTAGAGGATATACTTTTTAAATCGTTCAATAATTGTTTTAATATCACAAATGACACTAGTTCGTTTTTTATTTATTACTTGATCAGATTTTAAGTGACTTGAACAAATTGAAGAACATGCGTTTCCTGCATTTTTAAATCTTAATTAATTTACTGGAAACTTAACTAAGGATTAAAGGATCACTCTAAACATGTGGGATAACGGGATGTGCTATTTACCAATGAGTTTATGACGATTAAAGCATTAACTCCAGATTTATCCCCGATTAATTTATTAGAACGTTTCATATTATTATCCGGTGGCACAAAACATTGTCGTGTTTCCCTATACAGTCAATTATGAATTGGATGGGTAAAATAAAATGAGTTAAAATAGGTGAAGAACGATTGTATTTTATTTTTATACAAAATTTATTGATTTAATATGCGAATATTTTTTGTTTGGTAACACGCCATAACAATGCCGCCAGGTGTACAATTACCATCTAAAAAGCCTAACTCGCTTTACTGGATAATTTTACAGTCACATTTCTAATCCATTTGTTGGCTTGATCCGATTGCTCTGGTCATATGGCAGCTCCAATGTCATCCAAATGCGCTTAGAAAATCCTTACCAAAATACTATTTTTCCATTACAAAGGGCTAAAGCTACCTGGCATCAAATCGTCGCTGAATCAAAACGTCGAGACGGATAATTCCATATAATCTTTTTGACTTTTGACTTGCAAAGAATGTCCTTGTTTAGTTGGTGCATTTTGATTTTATTAAGGTTGCGTCAAATTATTGAGATAGTATCGTTCATGGGTTCTCGGCCGGGCGATACCTAGCTGCCAGTGTCACTTCGACGTGGTTTAAAGGGGACAGTCGACTTAATGTCACATAATAATCTGTCCATTGAATGCAAGTCAGCTAGGCCTCGGTCAGTGTACTTGGTGACACTCCGAAGCACACACTAATATCGTAAAAGCTGATAAGTGACAGTCAACCAACATGCATAATGTTAAATTTCTTTTTTAAATTTCAAAATAATTAACAGATGAATCGGAAAGGGATTTAAATATAACGTGTTCCTATTGTGCATTGTCTAAACATCTCGATATTCGACATTGTTGTATAGTTCTATCCAAAACACTTGAATTGAAAACCACAGAAACATTAATGCCTTTGTGATGCAATGCATTTGAACTATTTGAAAAAATCCAAACTTGAAGAGGGGATTATCCTAAGAGATTATTCAGGTTATCCTTGGATGAAGAAAATAAAGTTTATCCCAACATGTACTTCAACAAACACCAGCTATTTCCACATGCTGTTACAATTTTGTATACCCTGCAGTGCATGTTTAATATTTGACTTCTGACTTTATTTCCAAAAGTAAGAGACAGTCATGCCTACAAGTGCATCTAAAATATGTGCACTGATTTAGCCAAGTACCTGTTACTTGAATTACGCCACAAATAATGACAAAGATGAGACTCTGATTTGACATAGATTATAAAATCAGTTTAGTAATATTTTAAGTATATTCAAGTTCTTAAAGTAATATTTCCTGTCCTTTTTCGTACCAATAATCAGTCTGTGGGCTTATTTATATGCATGAGTGGGAAATCTAGGTGTTAATTGGATGCATTGATATCTGACGGTGATTATGAAGTACAAACAATAGTTAAACAGTGCACGGGTAAGCCACTGGTTCAATCTCGTCCAGAACTAATCAAGTATAATCATCTTATTATAACACTTTGTGTGATATCAACCAATATATTACTGAGGATGAATAATGCACTATATGATTAGGCGCATTATCCAATTGATGCAATTAAGCAGTAATCTGTTCACTTCCTGGATTCTTTTATATCATTCCACCACATGTGTGGTAAATCTTTTGACCAGATTTTATTTAACTAATTATGATATTGAGCAATAATTAAGTAACTCCATTTCATTGACAGATAAATTAACACATATATCGCTTATATCATGTGAATTTAGTATCCCCATAAAACTGAAAATAATCACGTTTTCTGACTAATACATTTAGACTGGAACCAGGCCGCAGCGCAAGCAACATGGCCAGCATTTGCAAATAAAAGCATAACACCATTCCATATGTTTGCCAGCAGGGGATGCAAGATTTGATTTAATAAATTTACAATAAACCACTGTGTGTGTACAATGTACATCTTCCCCTGTCTTCACATACGTCTGGAGACATCAGTTCCACTCAATAAAACCAGCACAAACCATTCAATATAAGTATTAATCCAACGATAAAAGTTTAATGATGCTCTCCTTACACCGAGCCAAGAAGTAGCCAGCATTGTGCTAAGGATTTCAATTACCATCATCTTAGAGAAGAACGATAAAGATGTTTCTAATTACATTGATATAATGATCAGAAATTTACATATGTATCACATTTTCTTACGTTCTGGAGGTTAATAAATTTAAGCCATACGACCAGGGAGAGAGTTTGTGCTCTTTAGGGAATATTGGAACTATAAGTTTTGCTTTTAGGACAGCGTTCTTAAAACTATTCTTTGTTGCCCAACTTCATGGATTTCATGGTGATATTCGGTAAGGTTTGGACGGAGATTATGTAGGAAATGTACTATTTAGATTATCCCCTCTAGGTCGGATTAAATTGGACATTGGGTCATCTGTGTTTGATAAGAAGACTGACTGTCATTTAGTGTAACTGTAAATTCAAGATCCAGTTCTCAAGCCGAGTTGGTCATGTTCCCATGGTAATGGTACGATAAGAGTTATCTCGAGAGCGAAATATATTCAATTACCATGGAAACCAGATCTAGTAGAAACCATTGACCTAGATTTACCACAACACACTGAAGTATACACAAACGTTCCACCATACTGTAACCTTATCCTCCGCATTTATACTGGCTCTGAAAATATCTAGCAGGGCACGACAAACTGGTTGTTGAGATGCAGGATTAATAGGTTTGTAAAGATCTATAAAGGTTAAACATAAGTGCAAATTTCCCCCCACTTTCTTGGTCTATGTGGCAGAGTATATGAACTCATGGGTGTTGAGAAGAGATAAGATATTTACAAGATTATATAGTGCCACAATTATAGAGACATGTAATCGCCCAAGACCTGCTATGGAAGTCCCAAAGAAGTTTAGCCTATGGCTGAATGACACACTTATCTCTATGAAAAATGAGAACATGATGAAGGACGATCTTTAATATCAGGGATCCAAATGGACTCTTCAAATGATATATTCATTTTACTTCCCCGTTTCTACGAATTTATCTCTTATAGCAAACAAATATCAAGACAATTCTCAAACTTGAAGTTGGAAGCGTAGAAACTGATGTTCATGCTTCAATAGTTGCTTGAGATGATATGATCGTCATGGTCTTTTAGACAAACCCTAAACTATTATCTGTACTAAATATACAGCTTGATGGTGGTTTAGCTGTTGGTTGAGCTCATGTAGAAACTTGTCTTCAACACAAACTGGAGTTCTAAGGGTGAACAAACACATGATGTACTAAACCGAATAAACCTTGCTCTTTATAATATCTTCAAGGAGGCTACCATCCTTCTAGATCCATTACAGCACATTGTTTAAATTTTCACTCCATTATAATTTGAGCAGCGGTGCATTAACTTTAAAAAATAATATTCCAGTTATATTGGGCTAATTAAATTTAAAATGGAATTTAATTCAAGGGGTTAACACAGTCAGCATGTTATGTTTGGTAGGGAGAAAGAAAGGTCATGCTGTTGGTGGAATGCCAGATTCAGCATCTCTCGCTGCTAGAAACAGTTACACTGTATTCACATATACACAATACTTCTATGATTCTAGTGATCACTCTGAAATTCTAAGTTCTGAATTCTGAATTTTTAAGTTCTGAATTCTGTATTTCCAAGTTCTGATTTCTGTATTTCTAAGTTCTGAATTATGCATTTCTAAGTTCTGATTTCTACATTTCTAAGTTTTTATTTCTGTATTTCCAAGTTCTGATTTCTGCATGTAAGGTGTGAACAAAGGTTAATCCTTGGTGGTCAGTTTATATTATTTGGGCTGAGAAACAGTAGTGGTTAAACATGAGTTAAATTCTAAACAAATTCACTTTGTTTGTTAATCAAACTTACCTAATGTATTTCTATTTGATAGAACTCGGATAGACCCACAATTGTAAGAAAACCACGATTAGAATGACTGTTATTTGGTCCTATTATAGTTTGAGTATCGAACACAAAGCTTGATAAAACATTTGTGTTTAAGATGTAATCTATGACCAAGTCAATGATCATAGCTTTCGAATATTGGACAGTATATTTGAATCCCCTGTTTAATTGTGTTTTATTTAATTTGTAAAATTACGACTGTAATAAGTATACCATTATTAATTGTAATCAAGCAGTGAACTGGTAGCTGGAAATTTGTTGTATTCTGAGAATATACGAAAGAAATTAACTCACATCCTCAGGTGTAATTACAGTTCAAACAATAATGAGAAACTGACAATGAAGTGTAATGCTTTGATATAAGTAATATATCATTAATTAATTATTTAGTGCGGGGAGCCAGTGGATTTATTTTGTATTAGCCCTAGAATTGTGTGTGGTGGTTGTCTGTATTGTCTCGGATTTCTAACCACTACTAGGCAGTTAAGCATTTACACTTTAATTGTCTTGATTACGGTTATTACGGAATAATCACTGAAGACGTGTGTTCCAATCATCAGGAATGATTATACCAAAATATAACTAAAATGGCTTTTGCTAATTTAATTCCAGTAAAAATGAGTTATTGAAAAAACAAACTGACAAGTGATTTTTTCATAGGACTCTCATAAATTTAGATTTTTTCTCGCGAGTTTTTATTTATAAGGTGGTAAAAACAAATCTTTAAAGAATAATGAAAGGAGAGATAAGAGTTCTAGTTGTCGAAGTTATTTAAAGTCTACTTTGCTAGAAATATTATCAAGTACATCTGCTTACGATGATATATGTTGTACTTGTCAGGTTGAATTCAATTTTTAAAAGCACTTTTAAACAACATAATATTTCAAAAATTAAATTGAATTAATTTTAAAAAAATAATATAATTAAAAATACTTAGGATCATGTTTTATAATAATAAAATTAACACATTTAAATACTGATGTTACATTTAAATACTGATGTTATATAAACATTTAATAAATTGTTATTCACAAACTTAAGTTTCTCACAAATACACATGCAAAGTTCCTAAATATTATATAAACTACTGTTACACGTTATTAGTTATACAATGTTGTGCCCCTTATAAATGCATTAACCGTGAAACTTATTGTAACATTATTGAAAGAGATTTGCCCCTATGAATTTTTAAGCAAAATGTCAGTAATTTACTTGCCACTTAAAACCATGGGAGATCCACTATTGAGAGAATCACCAACGGCCAAATTATTGTCGAGTTTTTTCTAGGTGCTCATAATATTTATATCTTATGGAGTGTCAGAAAATAGATCAGGACATAGGAGTAATTAATCATAAAATTGTTTTGGATACCATAAACATACAAATACTTCTAGAAATGTAGGAAATCCAGATATACCTGTCTTTTTGTTCAGATGCTCTGTCCCGTTGTCGTCGATTTTTAAACCAGTTACTGACTTGAGTGGTGGTAAGTCCCGTACCCTCGGCTAATTCTCGCTTCTCCCTGGGGGACGGGTAGGGGTTATGTGCATACCACTCCCGTAAGACGGTCCGAGACTTCTCCTTGAAGCAGTAGCTTGTCTCTTCCCCATCCCATATTGTCCTTGGAAGAGGGAACTTCCGCCTGACTCTATACTTTCCTACGGCCCCCAGGGGTCTGCCCCTGAGTTTCTCGGCCTCTACATAATGTGCTTTTAACCATAGCGCCTGTAGCTTTGGATGGTTATGTGAGTTAAAGTTATTACTCTCCAAAATTTTATAAAGTTCTCTGAAGTTTCCTCTGTGGAAGGCGACTACGGCTTTCGCCTTGAGTACGCTTTCGTTCTTATGTAAATGCTCACATGCCGGTAGTGACCATAGAAACCTGGCTAGTCTCTCGATATTACCCCCTTGTTGAAGGACTTCGCAGACGCAAGCCACCTGCTCCTGGGTGAAGCCAAATGATGGAAGCATGGGGGTGGGGGAGGCTCCAACCCCCGCCCCAGATGCCTGATCGTGTAACATATATGCGTTATGAACTGAACCTCCGTTGATAGCCGTCGTGGTAGATGTAAACAGTCGCTCCAAACATACAAAACTATAACTTCCAAACTCGGAAGACGCAGTAGAAAGTTGCTCAGTGATGAAAACAACCCGACGTGTGAGGCTCTCGCATCTTTCACCTATTATTTCTATGCGAATCTAGCAGTCCACAGGGCTGCTCTGATTGGTCGATTAGGTGCTCTACAAGTTTGCCGATGAAGGCTGTGCCCGGCGCATAATTAGTAGATCCCGATACAATGCCAATCACTGTAACCTTATACCGCAGGGGGAGGGAATCAGTATAGATCGAAATATATCACAATTTTATGCGAAATACTTTGGCTTGAATAAGTTATTCGATTCGATCTCGAATCCCTCCAATGTCGTAATGCAGAAATCAGTCAAATTTTTGACGTTTGTTCTTATCATGTATCAGTGTGTAAAATATTTCAAGATAATACGTTTTTTTCATGTCAACGTCGTACATTTACAGTATCTAAAAGGGACGACAAACATACAAATGGCCACTGATCCGGACAGAAGAATATACTTTATCAATTAAGGTGCAGTGTATATTAGTCTATAGGTTGAATTTGCCAAGCAATGGTAGCCAACGAATTTCAAATTCAAATATCATGTTAACATAATAATTGTAATAACTATTTATGACACGTTTTAAATTGGTTTGCTTGTTTTAATAAAATATTTGCTTAATATAAGACACGCTGGACTTACACGATTGAAATGTAATGATTATTTTGATGGCATGTCAATAACAAAGTGAAATGCACCAAAAAACCTAAATGAAATTGACCGAAATAATCATAGGTAAAATGTCCACTATTAATATAACTATTCGACTATATGATTTAACTTATGTTCATTCGGCGCAATATTACACTATTCAGTCATTGTAAGTAAAAATGGGATTACGTCGTTAATAATGATTGACAGGCGAGCCATAATATCATCTTATTACCACGAATTGACAGAACTAAAGCCTTGAATATGATACCCGGGGCTCTATGGGAAAATAAAGTAAGTGTGTTTTTGATACCTCCAGAGCCTCTCTCCCCGGGGCAGGTGGCAGTTCATTATCCGCGAAAATCAACCTCAACTAGAGCACACACAAATTAATAATGTAAAGAAAATTGGGTAAAATATGCTGATTTACAATGTGGTGAGTTGTTTTTATGACTACACACTCGTCCACCTCTTCATGTGCCGTGCTGATGATAAAAACACGAAATGCATCAACAAAGAGCAAGATAAACGTTTAGAATGCTTTTTGTGCTAACTCTGAATGAAAATCGGCCATAAAGGATGATTCTTTTATTTCATATCGTGATAATGATTAATTTCGTCAAACCCACGAGAAACAATTGCTGTACCACATAATGAATGTCCCATATATTTCATTTTCCATAAAATACATCTTTTCTACTCAGATAAAAAGTCATCGCTGCATATAAAAAACCATGTATTGTGGTAAATGCTTTCAGAATAAAGATGATAAATTAGCTTATTTCAACGATTTTCATTGCTACTGTTCGCAGAATTTCGAGCACGTTCAGATGTGGTGATGCCTGCTTTATCTGTGTCAGATACAAAAGTTGAATTCTGTTCCGGTCTCATCACATCCTGCAGTTTCCTCTCAGACGAGAACTTCGAATTTATACAAACATTCACTGATCTCATTATGTTTCATTTGGCCCCTGCTGTTAAGGAGGAAATTCGACTCTGCTAGCGTTAGATCGGGCGCGCGATAAGGCACCATTCTCCCAGTGCCCTATACAGACTCAAATCAAACTCCGCTTTGCGGGTAGCCATAAAAGAGTCTGTTATGGAGGCTACATCGCTACAGGCCAGCTCACAAATAGTCTGGTGTGTTGAATATGATGCACCGTGACAGCTTCTAGAGGGAAGAATGCAACATGGTCTAAACACGAGGTCTTCTCAATTCACAGTAGCAACTACAACTAAATGGCCAGACTTCAGCTAACATTTATCATTATCCGATTTCCTAAATGTAAATTTTACTGATGGCTAGGAAATTCTACACCGTGTAGGTCACATGACCTCTCTAGCTTACGTCATGCCGTAGGACCGCAGTTAATTTGGCGCTAATTCGGTAGTGTTTGGTTACCAATCTGGTAGTAGTATCTGTTGATTGTTGTTCTTTGCTAGCCGGATCAGATTCCATTTGGCTTTTAACGTTGCTTCTAAACAGAGAAACAAGATACCACCTAGGTCACAAGCCAAGTTGGTAAAGCCCTACCACTTTGAGTAAGAAAAAAGGTTTCTGTCGATAACTTGTATGTACACAGGAAAGTAAAGAGATATGGGTGACGTGTTACTGTACAAATATTAAGCACCTAAATGAAATAATCATATCAAGAGAATAAAAAGAGAATCGTTATTTTACTAGGAGAGTCTCAAGGTACTATACACCTCTTAAAAATGAAAGCTGATGGGTAGCTTATCTTTCCATCGTGTTTCAATTTTCATGTTAAGATCTGTCTTCACCTTTGTATTTGCATGAGTAGACCTACTGATACCCAGTTTCTCCAAACACTAGTTAGAATTGCTGGTCGGATATGTTCGAGGCAGAACAACATGAGATCTGAGAAGAATCTTATAATTTCGCTCTTCTGCTGGTATCATTTAAATTGTTGTCACAAGAGAAATAGAATCTGGCCTCAACTTGGATTGCCATGATATCACTATCACAAAACATTAAACCACCTGTAAAAACAACCAAGTGAAGACATAGCACATATGTTTAGAATAATTGCGTTATCTTTTGCCAGCGAGAGTTTGATGATGGATGCTAGTTTACAACTGTTCTTGGTATATAGTCAGTATATTGTGATGCCTTTTAGGATGTTTATCACGAGGGTTAACGTCAGTGTGAGTCTGCGTCGCCATTGGTCAGTAAATCCAATATGGCGGCATAGCGAAATTTGAGCGGGAAGTTGAAATTAGAGTTCCAAAATACCATGATGGGTTGTTGAAGTTATTTATGTGATATTTTGATCCTATGTCAGCATTTAAAAGAAGTTCTACTCTCCACGTGGGATTGCATACATAAACTATCAATTTCCAGTTTCGAAACCTAAGAGAGAGAATGATCTTTTGAAAGCAAAGATACCTAATACACCCTAGCTCTGTTGGACTGTGCCCATACACCAAACAATCCTATGTCGACACGTTAAAAGTTTTCTTATGATAACAAGTATAATATTTTCCTCTGTTTATATTAGGGGTCTCGAAGTAAATCATATAGCATATCAACGTTTTGGTTTCGAGTTTATTTGAGCCGTTTGTTGAAAGCATCAGTCCTGTTCAAGTAAGCAACTCTTGTCCGAAAAATGCTAGAAATAAACTGATTACTCAAATCTAAATCTATAAAGTTGTGAGTACTTCTGTTGACAATTGTCATGTTTGCGTAAAATGTTATACCTGATTAATTATTAATTATGTTCGAATGATTGTTCACTACTGTGTGTGTCGTAGTATGGTAGTAAGTCGAATAAGTCGAACGTCATGCTAAATACAGTATCATATTTTCCACATTGCACAATGTCATTGACTTATTTAATTATATAAATTGTATTTGTTCTAACCAACACTGTTGTCATACAGATTATTGTAGAACAGTTTCTCAAATATATCGAGTTTCAGGTAAACGATAACAACCCTAGACGCGCAACACATGTTTGCGCAAAGCTAACAATTATAACTTCTGTAGGTCAGAACAAGTACTCGAATTTGTATCGACTAATGATATGCAAATAGTATTCCCAAGTCGTAGTATATCTGAGGCACACATAAGGTAAGTTAATATCTATTTACATTGATTTAAATAGTGTTAGGCTAATGCATACATTAGCACCGTGGTCTAGAATTGATTATCCGGTGATAATTAGTGCGTCTACATGAACGTTCGACAAACTAAAATTATGATACATTCATAAGTGGATTAATGAAAATAAAGATAGGCTCCTCTCATCTCTAATTAGGACACGAATGTGTAATTACAAATTTGACAATATTTATGACACTTATCTTAATCAAAACGAAAAATAATTAAAGGCCCAATTTTTGCTATTTCATATCCTTAATAACCTCAAAAAATTGTTATTCATATTGATTTCTGACTTAATCAATAGATTATAATCCTCTTTCTGAAAATAGAAGAGCTTAAAATAACTCAATTTCTAGTAAGCATAAAAAGTTCCACGATTAAAAACACTCACGAGTACATTTTTCAATTTTAGAATACAATTAATTCAATTTCTAAATAAATGATATTTTAAGTTTCAAGAATTACAGAAAAGAAGATTTATGTCCAAATCTACTGGTTGTGTTAGGTAACATATTATTATATTATAAGTAAAAACGTATTTCAGGATTATTTTCAGCTTTTAACCCTTAGTCAATCTGAAAATCAGTTTTTCAGTTCCAGAGTGTGAAACAAATATAAACTCGTTTCTCATTTGTCATTATTTTTTCACAATACATTAAAACATTTAACGTGTTCCTCTTTCTCAATCAATTTGAAAAACATCTCAGTTATATCGAAGATCTCGCCATGTATTCTACCAAATACTCAAGATACGCTTTTCCCATCATCATTTCATTGTTATTTTGATAGTATTGAACCGGAAAGAAAATCCACATTGGATATATTTAACAAAACAATCCATGTTCTCAGCTTTACACGAGTTTTGTATAAAATGATTAGAACTCAGCTTTGTGTTTCATTTTAATTGATTGCATATTAGTTCCATTTCCAATTGTCACGCCAAGAAATAATCGGACAAAGAGGTTAGATGAAATTAGAGACCGTTTCCATTGACCAAGAGCAAACGCGCTTGTACAGAAGACAATACTTGGTTAGTTTCGCTTGCCTCCCCAGTCTGTGGACACAATTATATTTACGTTATATAGACCTACTGATTACACATTGACGACAGTTAATTGCATATCATATATTATGTCGTAAAAACTTCAAACTGACACTTTATTGGGATAAAAATTTCAAATATTTGAATTGTAGTATTTGGTTTGAGGGCTATAGTGAGGTAAGGTAATATAAACTTGCTATTACATCAAAAGTAGCGTAAATGTTACGTTGATATGTGTGAAGAATATATTGAAATATTAGTGTCACAAAGTTAACGAATTGTTTGACTTTGTGGCAAGCTTTATCGATGGCTAAT